TTTGCTTATATTGTTGTTGTTTTTGGGGAAAAACAGTTGCTTCAGATGCAGAAGCAGTACAAACTTATAACACCAGGTTCATCTGTTCTCGACCTCGGTTGTGCTCCTGGTGCCTGGCTTCAAGTCTGTCTCTCTCCCTCCCTCCCTCTTTCTCTATGTTTATCTATCTACCTCTGTATATTTGCGTATGTATACACATCATTGAGTGTATGTAATTGTTGGAAGTATGATGAGGAACATATCATGTTTGGTTGATTTCATGAAAACCATTGTGATGTTGTTTAACCTTCAATACAGGTAGCTTGTCAGAGCTTGGGTCCACCAAAAAATGGGGGAGCTGTTGTGGGAATTGATCTCAAGGTAATTATCACTAGAATTATCAATTTTGGTGGTTCAGGGAGTGTTTGGTTTTCTGTTTGTATGTGGACGGCTATGATGATTATGAGTACAATAGTTGTGTGTTTAGTTGTGATTGTTCAGAGGAAGGGGTTTCTGGGTTGTAGTTTTCTTAAAATTTTTGGGGATGTGCAGAACAGAAGGTGAAGGTCCCTTCTATGCACTGTGATGCAAGGGTCCAAACTGTTTGTGCTAATGTCATGAACCTCCCCCGGGGCCAAGTTAGAGCACTATCTCCTCAGGTAGCATTTCCATAAATATATATTTTGCACATTCGTGAAAACTGAATTTGAATGTCTCTATGTCGAATGCATATGGAATACTTGGTTTTTCCATTTATTTCCATTTATTCTTGCGTAGCATCTGAAATATTTCACTGAATTCTGTGGCCCTTTTGGTGTACTTTATTTGGGTTCTGACTTTTAAGCCCTACAATGTCTTCCATGTGCATGTAGTTACTCTATGTTTTGAGAAGGAAAAAAGTTTGTAGCAATTATCTTGGTTGTTTTGAAAATTATATAATCATGTTGTTTATGGAGTTGAAGGTTCAGCTGAATTGTTGTAATCAACGTTGGTTAAGGTAGGGCATGTATCTATTGCCTGATTGTAATTTCACTCAATTTATCTTTTGTCCATAAGCCTGTCTAGTTATTAATGGATTGGAGTGCTAAGTTGATTACTCATAAACGACTGGGTTAAGTCACAGATGAATCTGTAGCCTGATTCTAGTCTTATTTGTATTGGTGTCGTTTATTCCTCATGCCTTCTTTAGGTGAGTGCTCTGAGTGGGTGTATGCATGTGCACAATGTGCATGGTGTGCGAGTGCTTTTGTTGTCCAAGATGGAGTTGGAGCCTTCCTCTTGGTTCATGTAATGGTGTTCGATGGACAATGATTGTTGGGTGGAATTATATTTCTTCTGATGATAGAAAGAGAACTGGGTACCATTTGCTATTAGCTGTTTCAGTGCCTAAAATATGGTTTACCTACATTTTTCTCAATTTGGTCGCACCACAATTTTCAGAGAATGCACATCAGAATTTCTTGAGGCAAACTAGTAGCCTTTGGCCATCTATGTGTGTATGCGGACACCAAGCACAGAACTAATATGCTATTGATTGCCTATTTTGCAGCAGAAAGGTTTTTCTGTTATACTATCAGATATGTGTCCCCTTGTTTCTGGAATCGCAACCAAAGATGCAGCTTTATCTGCCGAGTTAGGGATGCAGGCACTTAATTTGGCTGTTGGAGGGGCTGCCTTAGTTCAATCAGATGACAACTTTCAAGTAGAGGGGCAATCAGATAGCTCTTCTTCTGTTCAGAATGATGGAGGTGTACTGCAACTTGGGGGTCACCTAGTCATTAAGCTTCTAGAGAGCGAAGACGTAAAAGGTGGGTACTTAATTCTATTAACTGGTGATTTTTGTTGCTATATAATATGTACCTTTCTTCCCTCTGGTTTGATTTGCAGAATTCAATCAGATTTGTAAACCCCTCTTTAGAAAGGCTTCATGGTTGCGGCCCAAAGCTACAAGATCATGCTCCAGAGAGATCTATTTGATTTGCCAGGGGTTGCGGTAGTGCAACAGGTGCAGGAATCGACTCTTTTTAGATGGTTGTTTCTGGGGCAGAGCAGGCAAAATTGCTTAAAGAATTGCATAGATTTATCTCCAGCAGAGGTAATCGAGGACCTCGATATACCATCAGGGCCTCGATATGATTTTCTTCTGTTTCTCGCGGTTTCGTAAGGCATTCAATCTTATGTTTTTTGTTGATGCTTGCTGGAATTGAAATACTGAGTTTATAAATATATTTGGGGGTCCATGTTAACCGCATTGCTAAAATGTACTTCATTGCTTCATTATTCGATCAATGCTAATAAGAATTGAGTTTGCTTCTCCACCAACTTTCCATGTTATTTTCAATGAGTTAATTTGAATTTCTAAGCCAAATCAAAGCTGCACACTCCACACTGAACCCATGCGTTGGCTCGAATACAAAGTCTTGACAGATGTAAGGTCTGAGTCCCATGATTTATCCAATGTGTCCTAAAGGTGATTGTGTATATCCAGAGTTTTTATTGTTGTCCTCATGAGTCCAAAAGACGTTCAAATAGCCTTGCGTAGCCCTAAAGGCTACACACAATCACGTGATCAGCATATAATTTCATGCTACAAAACCGTCAAAATTATGCTAATATAAAGTTGAGAGAGCGAGCAACGCAATTTANAATCACGTGATCAGCATATAATTTCATGCTACAAAACCGTCAAAATTATGCTAATATAAAGTTGAGAGAGCGAGCAACGCAATTTAAACTGGACAACGTGAAATGTTTCCTCTTCCTGGTAGACCACTGTCACAAGTAATTGACAGACAAGGGGCAAGCCTTGTGATAATGTTAGCATACAGCAGAATCCATGTAGGAGTAGAAAAGGTTGTTCAAGTTGTGGTTTAGCCCCACCATCAGATGCCCAATATAATTATCATCCCTTGAAGGCCAATAATCAGATTGTGTACCTCAGTTGATATCTGCGAAGCCAATCTTCACCCTTCTCATAATAATCCATCTTTGTGAAAGTTTGCTGTGGGAATTGCATGGCAGCAGCATAAGCCGCAGCACCACGCCAAGCATCAAGAATAGGATCGGATGCTTTGATGATTCGTATTGGCGTCCCACATGGCCGAATCATGCGGATTCCAGCTTCCAAACGCTCATCCATACCGGGGAAGAGACAGCTCCCACCAGTCATAAGGATGGAATTGGTTATTCTCTCCTCCAAACTTTGGCCCTTTGATGGTAACCTCCTTATTGAAACACCAGCCATCTCATCCAACCCTGCCTGGTCAACCCCAATTAAGTTGGGACGAAATAGAATTTCAGGGCATCGAAATCTTTCTACTCCAAGCATAATCTGGAAATCTTCCTTGGAGAGAGGACGGAAACGTGGGACTTCAGCAGTGGACCCTGACTCTGATTTGGATACAAAAGTTGGGTCTATTTGCTGTCAAGTATACAACCGAGGAATTGATAAATAACCCACAAGATAACTAACNGACGGAAACGTGGGACTTCAGCAGTGGACCCTGACTCTGATTTGGATACAAAAGTTGGGTCTATTTGCTGTCAAGTATACAACCGAGGAATTGATAAATAACCCACAAGATAACTAACTGGGATAAGTTGATAATAGAAGAAAATACAATACACATTATACAAAAAAAAAAAACTCACCCGGAGCCTAGAAGAGATGCGGGCCAACTCTGCTTCATCCTCGTCTGGTCCCTCATCATCCTCATCATTATCTTTGCTCATCAGCTTGTACAGCTGCCAATCTTCATCTTTGATGCCAAAAGTATCCTCACCCTTCCCTCGATCAAATGCTGCCGTAGTCAAGANTCATCATTATCTTTGCTCATCAGCTTGTACAGCTGCCAATCTTCATCTTTGATGCCGAAAGTATCCTCACCCTTCCCTCGATCAAATGCTGCCGTAGTCAAAANTGAGTTTGCTTCTCCACCAACTTTCCATGTTATTTTCAATGAGTTAATTTGAATTTCTAAGCCAAATCAAAGCTGCACACTCCACACTGAACCCATGCGTTGGCTCGAATACAAAGTTTTGACAGATGTAAGGTCTGAGTCCCATGATTTATCCAATGTGTCCTGAAGGTGATTGTGTATATCCAGAGTTTTTATTGTTGTCCTCATGAGTCCAAAAGACGTTGAAATAGCCTTGCGTAGCCCTAAAGGCTACACAAANGAGGCGCATCCTTTCCTTCTGGGCAGCATTCAATCTTTCCCCGCGGCCAACACCTCCAGACCCATTATTATTTCCATTTGTGTGGCCGCCATTTGTCTTTTGTCGTTTCCGTTGCTCAACTTTCTCAGAAAGCTCTTTGTATTTAGCATGCATCTGTTCCAAATAAAGCTCTGGGTTCTCCCTACATTGGGAAAGGAAAAGGGAACAATGAGCAAAGAGATGGTACAACTGAGCAATTTCAAAATCGAATGAATCCACTCACGTCATCCCATAAAACCTAACGTCATCAACATCTATTGAGCATACAAGCCTTTCCACTGATTAAACGCACTAACTATATCTGGATCCAAATGAAATATGAATGCTTTTCTTCCTCAAACATTTGACATGTAAGGAAGATATCTATTTTGATTAAATATAAATGTCTTAATGAGCCTAGTAATATACAAGCGTTTTTCTTCATCTCGTTTGTTTTGCCTTTCTCGTTCTAATTCCTCTTCAAATCGTTTCTGTTTAGCTCTCTGCCGGCCCTCAGATGTGGTTTTGAGAAACAGCTGCCTCCTCTTTTCTTTGAGCTGTCAGGACGACCACAAACATCCAACATTCAAAGTTAGCAATATTAAGAAGCCAAATGATATAGAAACAATAACAGTGACCGACATTAACATTACACAATAATCGNAGCTGTCAGGACGACCACAAACATCCAACATTCAAAGTTAGCAATATTAAGAAGCCGAATGATATAGAAACAATAACAGTGACCGACATTAACATTACACAATAATGGAAAGGAGGCTGACTCAAGCTTTGAATATAACTGCAATGCAATTAAGAGTCATGTTATCGCATTCAGCAATCCTCCTCAGATTTCATACAAGTCACTTATGCATATAGCCAACATCGATCATGTTTAGCGTGAATAGGCTTATGGGCAGCCATATTGACAGTAGGAGAATACCTGCTCTGGTGTCAGCATGTTGTCAGGGATGTCAATGAGAGTATACTTTTCAGCTGCAGAGGGATCTGCCTTCTCCTCACTTTCAACTTGTCCACCTTTTGCTTTCCGTAAAGACTGTGTTACTTTCGCAACTGCAGATTCTATTTCCTCTTTCGAGACGTATCCAGTTGCTGAAAGGAAAGATGGGACGGCATTCTCTTCCACATGCTTGAGCTGCTGTAAAAGGAATTCCAAGCCCTTCAATTCATTTTCCAGTTCATTAATCCTAGAACACCTCTTTGCCTCGGCCATTTCTCGCAACCTTTGACCTTGTTTCTCCTTTAGAGCAGCCTTTCTGGCAATCTCCTCCTCTGATGGAGGCTCCTCAATAGGTGATGGTGTCCATGGGAGCTGCCAACACCTTGTCTTTTCTTCAGCTTCCTTGGTCCCATTCTGTTGCAATAGTTACAGAACTTGATCTTCATACCAGAGAGAATAGAGCGGCTACAGGAAGAGCAACAAGCTTGTTACCTGAAATAATTTGGCTTCTGAAGCATAATCAGGTGCGATATAACAGTGTTCCATTTTCAGGTCTTCAACCTTCTCCCATGTAAGCCTTGACCTGATTGAGCATTTTAAGAATAAAACTAGAAGTCAAAGTCAAAATTCCTATGAAAAATGTAGAGAATATGGATAGTGCTGCTCACATGTGATGTGGGTATTTAAGTGAAAGAAGCTGCTTCAAATAATCAGTGACATGGTATCCACCAACATTAGTTCGGCAGCATGCTGCATAAACAGGCTCTCCACTGATAAACTGAAAGTGCAACAAGCATACATCATTCTCATCATTGTTGAAATCATCAAACAAACAGGAACAATTAAAAATCACAGCTTTGGCAATTCATCAACATCAACCATTCTAGAATTTTCAAAAGAGAGCCGGATTACGGATCTTTCCTGATTGGACAAGAAAATGGTGGACCACATCAAAATGACAATAATACCATTTGTGCATGTAANCATCAACATCAACCATTCTAGAATTTTCAAAAGAGAGCCGGATTACGGATCTTTCCAGATTGGACAAGAAAATGGTGGACCACATCAAAATGACAATAATACCATTTGTGCATGTGACGCTGTGCATGCATGAGTGCACTCTCAGAAGTGCAAACATGCAGAAAACTTACACGTAAAAACGTGCATGCAGGCACACACAGAGAACCATCATTATGCACTAGTAGTTGATCCACAACAAAGCAAGCATCCCAACCACTAGTAATGATGAAAATAACATCAATAATGATAGTCATTACAATTACAAATACCGTAGAAGCATAACAAAAATTACAAGCATATAATTTATTAGCTTGTCCACCCGCTTATAATTACAATTCTGACAATAAAATTGCTGTGCAAATAATAAAACAATAACCAACTCTATTCTGGAAAAAATCAGTATGATTAATACCATATGCAGAAACTGAGTTTAGCAAAGCATACCGGAATAGCATGACTTGTGGAAAATCCTGAGCAGATGGCAAGGCCATCATTATCACAAATCCCAAGTCGTTGATTATACTTATAGCTGAATGCAGCATCTACACCGAATGCTGTGATCATTCAAATATTATATACATGAATCAGACATAATAAATTTAACAATGCCCGTGTACCTATGTGAGTTCAATAAAATAAAGGAAAATATCTCTGGGTACAAACATATCTGAAGTGATAACCAAGCATACCTATACGAACAGAAAAGCATCAACTTCAGCTAATCACACACATGTCAATGCTACAGACAACTTAAAGATAATAAAACTTAGCAGATCCTAATTTGTATATAACAGACCAAGCATATCATGTAATAAATTGGTCCACAGAGACATGGAATGGCTAAGCAAATGGTCCTTGACAAACAGAATGGTGAAATATTCATGTATTGTCTGGATTGATTTGTTCTGGTTAGAAATGCAAATGGCTTTAACAAAACCAACAGCAAGTGCTCATACCTACTGAAGGCACTCCATAAGACTCAAAAAGCAGTTCTGCCATCTTACTGCGAGACTGCACTGGGTTGCATGCACATTCAGTAATAAGGACAGGATGGTCAACCTGTTCTGCCATCAAAGAGAACAAAAGTTCTTGTCAATATAGCAAAGTCAAGCCTTAGAATCATGATATCAAATCACTCTACCGTAAACTGAGCCAGATGTGCAGCACAAAGGAAAAACATGATATCACAGAGCTAAATTTCACATGAAGAATGAGGTATTTGGAAAGATATTAGTTCTTTCAATTTGCTTTCCACAACATTTCAAATTTTCAAGTATATAAAATTGCTTCGTCACAGCATCAACACGGAGCTTATCAGCCCTCCAACATCCTCAAATCCAGATCAAGCACAATTGCAGTATATGGTCATCTTTCAAGTTATGTTGTCAATTACATATTTGGTGATCACTCCATTTTACATTTCAAATTTGTTTATCCCGTGTTATGGCTAAAAACATAAGATAGGGAAATGCCCATCATCTCCAAATGCCAGATGTAAGTTCAAATTTAACAGGAAACATTCAAACTTTAAAAATCAACAATCCCCAATCGACTCTAGTNTATCCCGTGTTATGGCTAAAAACATAAGATAGGGAAATGCCCATCATCTCCAAATGACAGATGTAAGTTCAAATTTAACAGGAAACATTCAAACTTTAAAAATCAACAATCCCCAATCGACTCTAATACATGTAACCTGTGGCTTTGAACCAAATTATGAAAATAAAAAAAAATGAGATTTTTATTTGATGCAGTTCAGGAAAGAATAAAGATCCACAGCAATAATGATAAATACAACATAATTAACCCTAATCATCATTGCCTTTATCAGTCAGAGAAGAAGGCCATAGCAGAAACAGAAGATGTGAAACAGACAACCACTGAAGTGAAACTGAATTAATTTTACAGTACATTAATTATGGATTACTGTGGAATACTCTTGCCCCTTAAGATAACCAAGCAATGGACTAAAAAAAAACGTAGAAGTACCTGTGACCGATCTGCACCCAGCCGATCAAACCCAAAGTCAAGAATCTACAAATGCAAAAATAGAAAGTGAGACTAAAAAACTAATATTACATAACTAATTACCACTGATCTATAAGGCTTTGTTATTCTCACTTAACCATCTAGTCATAGAATATTGTACAAATTTGCAAGCATGATTCAGGAATCAGGACAACATATAAAATAGCATTTCTAGTACAACAGACCGAAAAAGAAGCAATGTGAATTAGTGCTTGTCAAACAGATTCCTTCATTGCAATTCCTAATCCATGCTCAATTTTCACAGAGCTTAGACTGAGTTTCTCTTCATTCAAAGATACAGAGTCTGTGCTCAACAAGTCAGTCATCCAACAACATAGCACAAAGTGGTGTGCTCATTAGCACTCAGTTTTAGCACAATACACTATCCAAGATCAGTTCCTTTCCCAGTAAAGTTAAGTATATGACATAAAATTGGAAACTACATAATGAACTCCCACATGCTTGAGAAATAATGGAAAAGGTTATGTCTTAAGAAATGGCAAGTTCCAATGCTTATCATAGCAAGGGAAAAGGGGGAGAAATATTCCAGATATTTCCTGGTGAATGCTGATAATCTACAGTATGCACTACCTTCTATTTTAATTCTGTTTATTAATGTTTTAGATTCAATAAAGGCTCAAATTGCATATTTTCTATCGGAATCTAGAATTACTTTACAGTAACACAGCCATTGATTTTTTATATAGCTCTCTTTTGATGCATGGTTTCACTCATATAATTTGATGAATCATAAGACAAATTTATTTGTTTTTCATTATGTAATCTACAACAAATATATGCCCTCCAGGAGATACATTTGAAGTTATGATAGACAACAAATTCTTCCCATAAGAGAAAGAAAACCTACATAAGAAATATAATTATGTAGAAAGACGATTCAACCCATTTGACATTCAAAGCAAATCAATCGCAGATAAGGCTAAATTTAGCTTACATATTCCATTATCTCAAACTGATAGACAACATTGCTTTCAAAAGCCGAACGAGGTCCTGAACGTGTGCAATCAAAGTATTTCAATAATGCAGGATCATGATCACCAACTATTGTGACTGTTTCACCTGAATCAACATTTGTTTTTATGATAAGGAACAGGGTTTTATATAAAGTTATAATAAAGAGTACATGCCCTGCAACAAATGGATAATTCATCCAACCCAACCTCAAAAATTTACTAACATTATAACACAGCATTCAAATTAGATTCACACAATGGCCAAACAGCTAAAATTCTTTTGTGGGAAGTGACACATTATCACTTCCTTTCTTTCTTTCATGGAAAGGAAGAGCAACTAGATAAAACAGAAAGGACTTTGTTCAAGAATGCTATTACCAGAAAAAAACTGCAAAATACTTGATTTCCAATTAATAAAAACTTACAAATTCACATGGAGAAAGGTCAAAGACTCCACTTATGCCATCATCTTGTAGCCCATAGTACCACCTGCTATTTTACTTACAAGCCCATTGTATATAATAACAATTATTTAACTATATCATTCTACTCTTGAGCCCGGGAAAAATATGCAGCGAATATCTAATCTCTGATTTCTGAAATTGGATAAGTCTATCCTTGGGGGACAAAAATTTAAGCTAGGCAACAAAAAAAGCTAAACCTAGGGACATACTGCAGTACTGCACTCTTATTAGCACCCCATCCTTTTTTGTGCGGGGCTTATTTCCAGCCGTTTTGAAGAGGGCTAATCCAGTTCAATCTGGCATTACAACTTCTTCCAGATTAGTATGCTATTATCAAATATGAGTGCAAGGTTTCCGAGGCCATCTTCCAGTAGATGCAAGGATCTGTTACATCATCAATTACCAAAAAAGGTCGTACATCTTTAACTATGTCTTGTCAATGATAATTTGATATCTTATGCCAATTTCTGAGAACTACAAACTGCAATATTATTGTTTTCTCCTCAACTATGTCTTGTCATTGATCGATCATTTGAAATCTTAATTAACAATATGAGAATCAGAAACTGCAATATTACTGTTACTGAATAATCTTGTGTAGGAACTTAATAGCACTATGGCAAATATGGTGCAGTCCTTTGTCTGCTCTAGAATGCAAAGAAGGTTCCTTTCCAACCAATAAACTATCCAAAAGATGCATATTTATGATAAGATCAGAAATGGAAGTTGTCGAGAAAGACTGCAAGCGTCACAATTATAGGTACCACCAAAGAATTTAATTATACAATGTGATATGTTCAGCATCACTCTCTCTCTCTCTCTCTCTCTCTCTCTCTAATAACAGAATATGTACAACCCTTTTATCTGCCTAGTAATGAATTAGTATACGTTTTTTTTGTTAATAGGAGAATTAGAGAGGTCCCCGATTTTCACGTCTACATAGGAGGTTGCAGAACTCTATGGCTTAGGCAGACGAGTGCAGCTGTTAGAGTGAAGCTACATGTTTGCTGAACTCAAAAACGAAAAAAAAAGAGGTTTGTGCCATAACTTTCAGATTTTGCACACTTTAAGCCTCAATAAGTAAATTTATACAGAAATACAAAATTACTCAAACACAAATTAAATACAAATATAAGTGAGCGAACCGGTGATTTTGTGGCGTGGCCTCTGAACGATGTTTCGGAAGATAACGCGAGGGTCTGTCTCTCCCGCCCATCTGTATACAATCAACCATGAAGACATCATAACACAAAATTGGAGTCGGAAGTGACAACGCTACAGTAGAATTATGCATAAAGCCCAAAAAAAACCAAAAAATTCATAAAAGATACACAATAAATTCCAGGGTATTGTTTGTGTTGTGGTGTACCCGATACGGAAATAGGAGCCGCCATTGTCGATGACGATGGGACAGGTTGAAGGGAAGAGACTGTAATCTGATTGTCTCTGTATTTTCGATATGAATGGCATTCTCTTCTTCTTCTTCCTATGCTCTCTTTTTCTCTCCGAGAGACTGGAGGGTATGAATATTAAGCTTTGGGTTGCCCTAGCTTCTTCGTCTACCGGATAGTTTGGGAGGGTATGTCGAACCGGTTTTCATAAGCCGATTTTAGTTTGGAACGCCGAAGGAAAGTTAAGGGATTGTTTGGCAAATGACTTATTGGACCCCATATTACCTAGCAACTTGATGCTTCAATTGCAAACAATGTCTCGTCTGGTTATAACCAGACAGGAATGATAAAAATTGAAAGGTAAAATACATTTTTGGTGCTCAAATTATGCATTTTTTGTCAATTTGGTCTTTAATTTTTTATTTGTATCAAATTAGTCTCTCAATTTTTTAATTTGTAACATTTTGGTCCAATCGAAAACTGCAGTTAGAATTTAATAATGGAGATCGTCATGTGATCACACCTGAAGCGCATTCTTTGAAACCTTTAGGGATTAACGTGAAATAAATTATAAATTTGAAGGACCAAAATAATATAAATTATAAATATGAGTGACCAAAGTAACCCCTCAAGTGTAGTCACGTGAATATCTTCGTTAGTCAATTTAAACTACCATTTTCGATTAGATCAAAATAACACAAATTGAAAAGTTAAAGAATCAAATTGACATAATTAAAATATGAAAGTGACTAAACTGATATAAAAAATATACTTAAAGGACTATTAATGTATTTTACCCAAAAATGAAAGTGAAGCAAAATAAATAAGAAAAAAATATAATTTCATGCAAGCATTTAGTTATCATAAAAAATTTGTAAGAATTAAAGTTTTAGAAAACTTTAATTCTATTGCTTAAAAGGTAGGAAAGTAACAAAAAAGCATCCTAATTATCTAAATTATCCTTAGTATTAAACTTGACTAAACAAGAAAAATACAATACTATATTATAACTGAAAATTGAAAAAAAAAAAAAAAAGAAAAAGAAAATCAGCTCCTAGGCTAGTTGTAAGGCAAATATTAGTCCAACCTAAGACATTTGAATTAGATTTTATAATTGAACCAGATTATAAAAAGTTTTTCAAAAATTAATAACAAAATAAATATTTTAGAAAAAAGAAGGGTAGGCAGCTCTCACCTTAACGTGCCTAAAATTATTTTCATTTTTCTTACTCTTTTCATTTTCTCTATTTTGCATTTTTTATTGCCCTAAGAACTAGTGAGAATTCAAATTATAAATCACTACTTTCTTTATTTTTTTTGTAAGAAAAAAGGTGACTACTACGTTATTTTTTATTTGATGCTAATTAAACACATGAAAAAATTTAAAAATTTCTTTTTTTTTTCATTTTGTATTATTATTTTGCTAAATAAATGCACCCAAAATTATGGAAGGAATATATTGTGATTGTCAATAATGTAATAATCAATCACGTGTTTGAAAAATCCACTTAAAATACCACTAAGTTCCGTTTTATTAGGTAGGAAAGAATAATGAAAAGTAAAAATGATAAAAAATTGGAGTGAAAGAAAATAAAATGATAGAAAATATATTTTTATGCATGTATTTGATTAACATGAAAAACTTAATTTTCATTCTATTGTTGAAAGAAAAGAAAATTACAAGAAATTTTTTCTAATTGTTTAAATTACATTTAATTATGTTAAATTGGTTTAAAGAATAAAAAAAATATATTATAACTAAAAGTTAAATTTTTTTTTTTTAAAAAAGTGAGTCATAACCTAATCTCATTAGCTATCTGATTAATTTTAAAGTAAAATTTAAAGAGATTTCAACCTCAAAAAATAAAAATTATTTTGTTTATCTTTTGAAATTTAAATTGTATTATACTTAATTATATAAATTTATAATCTAACTTAAACTTGTTAAAATTAAATTCATATTACTAACCTTACTGATTCAATTTTTTATAATACAATTGACGAATTGTATTAAAAATTAGCAATTGACAAATTGTATTAAAAATTATCACTCTAAAATCTATATTAAAAATTAGAAAAAATTACACTCAGACCCTTAAAGTTTGTCACTTAATCACTCAGTTCTCCTGATATTTAAAATGTTACACATAGACGTTTTAAGGTTTGTACGTGCGTAACAATTTGACTCTTGCCGTTAACTCTTCCGATAATCTATCCATTAATAAATTACACACAAACCCCCCTAAAATTTATAAGCGTACAATACTTAGACCCCTCAAATTTAAAATGTTATACTTAGACAAAAAATATTCCAATCAAAAATAAAATATCAAATATTTTAAATTTACAATTAAAATTCATGCTCTATTATATTGAAATTAAAATTAAAATTTTTTAAAAAAAAATCATAATTATTATATAATTATATTATCTATTAGAATAAAATTAAAAAATTAAACAAAGGACCTAAGTTATTCATAATAAAATATGAATTTTACAACCAAAATTCATGTTCTATTATTTCATTTATTGAAATAAAATCAAAAATAAAAATCTATATTTTTTTACAAAGAATCATATTTAATATATAATTATACTATCTATTAAAATAAAAATAAAAAAATCAAACAAAAGGTCAAACTGTAATAGACACAATATTTTCTATCTTTAATTGAGGTAATTTGACCATTTAAATGACCAAATTAAATTCCAATAAATAGTATAATTGTATATTAATTATGAATTTTTAAGAAAAAATTAAAATTTTATTTCAATAAATGTCATAATTGAACATAAATTTTGGTTTGGTTCCAAAAAAAAAACATAAATTTTAGTTGTAAAATTTAAAATATTTGATATTCTATATTTTATTAGATTATTTTTTATTTAAATATAATATTTTAAACTTAAAAGATCTAAATATTATACGTCTACAAACTTTAAAGAGTTTGAGTGTAATTTTATTAATGAATTTACTGACACACATTGACGACAAATATTTAAGTGTCACGTGCTTATAAACTTCAAGAGATTTATGTGTAATATTGTAAATGTCACAAATTCTAAGTGATTAAATGACAAATTTAAAAAATCTCAATGTAATTTTCCCTAAAAATTATAACTCCAACTTAAATCTAAGCCGAGTCAATAAACACCCTAAACCAACCAAACAAGGAATCGCATCACAAAAGGGCGGATAAAAAGTGCGTCCAAAGTGGCTCCAATCTGCAGCACGTGGGGTTGTAGTTCTTTACACGCGTACAAACCACTCACCACACAGATCCATCTATCATGATCATGGCTCAGGGCCCAATCCATTGGGCCCACCAAAGAGAATAAAGGACAAGAATCGAATAAAGCCATCATCATCATCGTCATACGGCCGCCAAAAATGAATGGTCCAGATTCGAACCACTCCTTCCCAGAACCTTCCCGCGCATTTTTAGAGAGCCATAGATAATTGGCCACGTTTTATTCCACGTCAGCAAAAAGTTGCTGCTTTACTGCCACGTAGGATTGGCTTAATAGTTGCTTCCAGCCTTCCACCAGACGATTAGATAGGTCAAGTCAAATGGCAGCTTCCGGAACAAGCCATGGCACGATGCCATTGACAACCCACCACCCAA